TATTTTACTTATCTCAGCATAGAAAAGATTCTTGCTGGCACTTGATGAATCCTTTTATGAATATTAGTGCATCTCAAATCCCATCAGAGTTGCACAAACTGTACAAACCATGTTGTGTTTTTTTTTTTTTCTTGTGCGTGTCAAAAGTTATGTTTTGTTACAGTTGGCTGCAAAGTCCTGCCTTCCAAGGCAAAAGCAGCACACGCTGTGCAGAGCACCGTCGAGGGATTGCAATGGTTCACTAAGGCCCCGGTCCTGCAGCACTTTTGTTCATGTTTAACTTCTGTGCGGTATGGGTAGTTATATGGGCAAGCGCATGGATATGCTTTTGCAAAGTTAGCACCTCTAGTTACGTAAAACTCCACAGCTTTTTGGCCCGTAGCTGCGAGGCAAGCGAGACGAGTCAGAGCCAACAGCAGAGCAGCTTTTCATCAGTTTGTCATTGGGGCTTCTGCAGTATCTTGTTTCAGTCTGTGCAAGAGTTTCACAAATTAGTGGGGTGCTTTTTTTTCTTTTTTAATTTAAAATTCTCTGAGCGTGAATTTCTGCCTAACTCTATGAAAACATGTTCATACCTTTCTGATGCTATAAGGGAAAGCCTTAAAGGAGGCTTCCATAGGAAAGCAAAATAAATATGAAAGTTTCCTCTTTCAGTTCATCTTTCTAATGCGGTCAGCTGTTTCATGGCAAGAAGAGAAATTCTGATCAACTTCTTTATGGAAAGAATGTGCTGTGAAAGTCCTTGGGGTATGCAAGTCAGAGAACTGTTGGATGAGGCACTTTAGATTAATCCAAGCTTGATATAGTTGCTAAGGAGTAGAAAAGAAGTCTCTAAAGCCAGGACCTAAGCTATGAAGTAATGTTGTTGCTCCAAACACAGTTGGATTTGTAACTGGAAACAATCTGGGAGCCAAAGTGGACTACACTAAGTGGACGTACCACAGCTCTCTTCTGGAGAGAAGCAAGAATTTCCTCCAAGAGGGAAGCTGGGTATGCTGTTGCAGGTAGCTGCCTCCAGACAGCACTCTGTATGCTCAGTCTTGTCCGGAGTGCCTCAGATCTGGTGTCCTTCACTGGTACTCCACCAGAACCGGTACCTTCACAAACGCCTCTCTGATGCTGCTGTGTCACACACCCTGAGACACACAAATACACCTTTCTCTTGAATCTATGAAAGTGCCACTCCGCTGGGTGGCAACATGGTCTTCTTGTAGTTCCGAGTATGTGTGACTGAAAACGCAAAAAACTATGGATGTCCATAGGACCTCTGAACCAAACGCTACGTAATGGGGACATACTGATCTACCTGGCAGCGCTCTAGATCTAAGCAGGACAGATGCAAGCGATTTCATTTCACCAGCCAGTGTACTCCCTGCCTCTTGGCCAGCAGCCAGGGACGGTTCTAGGTTTGAATGCCTTTAGCAGCGTACCTGTGTGTTCCTGTTCCCAGGATTAAGTTTTAGAAAGTCAAATGAACCACAACAGTGCAGCTCCTATCTGTCTTTGTAACGATCCATAAATATACCAGTGTTTCCAGATATTAATTGTTATCACAGCCAGGTAATAGCTGTGAACCAGAAAGTGCACTTGCAAGTGACTTTCCAGCCCAACGGTTGTCAGAAGGGTTTCTACTTTTAATTTAAAGAATGAGGATGAAATTTTGAACCGACTTATACAGCCCCTGAAGGATTTGAACTTTAAGTGTCTGTAACAAATCTGTACCATAATAAGGTCAAGAATAAAAATGAAGAGAGGCAGAAAGCAAAGAGGGATCTGGTTAATACTAAATCTGACTTACTGTAATCTTGTTTCTGGCCTTTTCCATAAAAGGAAGATCCACCTCTGAAGAGGCAACCCCAGAGGAGCTGGTGCCTCAGAGTTAGAAATGGTACCAAAGACAGTTTTGGAGATGCTGTGGTTGCATGGATGAATGAGTAACTGTGCTCATTTTCCAATTTTCAGTGAGATGTACTAGAAGTGGAATTTTGCAAACTCTAGAAACCTGTGCACTGGATTGTTTTATGTTGTAAATTAGATAAAGTAGTTTAAATATTGCCATTGTTATGTATATTGTGGCAGTTGCAATCAAACTTAAACTGGATAAATGATTCGTGTGGGTAGATTTCCATTTTGTTTGGGGAGTAAATCCATGTAACAAGTAGCGATGGTGCTCTACTGTGAAATAATAACAGAATGGGTATTTTTTTCTTCTCAATTGTGCATTGAATAAATTGAAAGAGTGCTAGAGATTACAATGGGTAGTAAAAAAGATATATTTCTTGAGGGAAAGTGTGAACAATCCTTGTGTTGTGGTTGTGTATTGTTGGAAGAGGAAGATTTAGTCCATTCTGTCGTTACTGTCTGCTTCTTCCTGTTTCCTAATTCAAAGTCCTTAGTTTGAATCAAATACTGACCCCAATCATATAATTTGCAACTTTACTGTTGGCTTCGGTCTGACTAGGTTTGTGTGTTTAATACCAAGAATTGTTTGTCTTGCTCTGTGAATATGACAACATGTCCTGGATGGCTCTGTTAATTCAGCACAGTGCAGAAGGTTTTGAAATGTGTGTACATACAAACGCAAACAATGTATGTATATGTAATGTCCATGCAATATTTTATAGGTGTTTTTTAGATACTATAGGAAGAACTATGATTATAGGGAATTAATGTTTACAAAAATGCAAATTTGAAATTAAACTACTTTCTTAAGCTTGTTCTACCTTCTTGGAAATACAGAATTCCAATTCCCCTACTTAAATTTGGGCCCGTTCTCCTGCTGTCACCACATTTATATGGTCTGCATAGTCTTCCGTTCTACTGGCACATTTAGAAAATAGTTGACAGTAGTTGTCAAGGCTTGCTTTTTTGTTTGGGTGTTTTGGGGGTGGTTGGTTGTTGTATTTTGTTTTGTGATGGTCTGTTTTTGTTTTGGTTTTTTTTTTTCCCTTTGGCTTGCTGAACTGTCTTTATTAATAATTAACAAAGCCACTTGGGGATTATTTATATATGGTGATACACCAGACAGTGGTTCCAGCTCCAGGAGTGACATAAATTCATAGATCAGCCCAGTACAGTGCATCATCATTATCCTGGCAGGAGTCTACCAGAAAGTGGTTGAAGCAGAACTGCAACACCAGGCGAGCCTCACACTTGGCTCTCTTTGGTGTGTGCTTCCCTGATACTGTGGGGAAGGTGTGCCTGAGAAAGCCTCGCTTTTTCAAGTCAAGTAGAAATGGAGTCTCTGTATTCGGCAGATTATGAAGCAATTACAGCTTCTACTTCTTGTAGAATCGATAAATCACTTAATTTATGCATTAACAACAATTCCTAGTGGATCTACGTGGTTGGAAATGATTCAGAACTGGCCTTGAGGGTGTTAACTAAAATCCACATGAGTAATTCTCAAGTAATTCTCAAGTAATTCTCAAGTAATTCATGGGCTTTCTAGAGAGTGATGGTTTGGGAAAAAATGCCTGGATGTTGTCATGGTTGAGAGTGATGCTCCTTAAAGGTAATTTCCTTATATATCCACACAAGAATCCTAACCTGTTTAGCAGCTTGCACCTCTAGCATAACTTCTTGTTTCTGTCTTCTGACCAGGTACTAACTCCAAAGAGGTAAAGTCTGTGTTTTAACAAGCATGAGGTCAGCACGAGGGGAAGAATGAGTATTGTTATCATTAGAGCGTCAATGAACAAGACCTTTTCTCTTTACACCTTTTTGCACTTTAAGGAAAGAATAGCCTTGGATAATATGTCTCGTGGTCTTGAAATACCTCTGTGAAGCTCACTCTTCTTGGAGGCATTTCTCCTTAGATCTGGGAGAGCTGAGGAAAGGTTATCATCATCCCTTGTGTGTGGCTGGGGGAAGGCAGAGGAGCCTTCTGTCCTCCTGCAGCCCTGGCAGACGTTACGCTCAGGGAAAGCTAAAAGCTGAGAGCAAGTTGCTGGGGGCTGCCACACTGCACGTGTTTTTGTCCATATTTTCTTAGGAAAGACTTTTCAATGTTGAAAAGCGTAGGGCTTTTCTCAGCAAGAGTCATATTTTCAGTGTTCTCTGAACAAAAAAGAGATATTGAAACGCAAGTGTTTTACGGGAAACAATATGCCATGAATAATGTTGACTGGAAATGCTACTACATGTTTGGGGTGGGGTTGTCTGCCATTGGAAGTAATAAAAATACAGCTGTATATTATCCATTGGGGTTTGGTTTATTCTGGAAGCTAATTTTTAAGAAACTGAGGGTTATTTATTGGTTGTGTCACAGGAATATTTGGACTGTTCTAATTCCAGTCTTCAGCATTTTTACATTTCAAGCCATATAAAGGAGAACAAGATATACGGTGCGTCTACCCCAGTTCAACAGAATGGTCTATAACCAGACTCTGTAAATATACTCTCTGTAAATATATTGCTGTGTTGTTTCTAGCCACAGCAATACTTTTCAAATTATTTATACTCTTCTAAAACTTACTCAGCAAAAGCAGTTTTCATGCTACAGTGTTGGATTCAGGTCTCAAAGTGTTGCACAGTATCCTTCAGTATGCTTCAAAGCCAGTTTATTTTTTACAAGGGGAGTGAACACGAAAACTGGGAAGATTTTGCTTTCGCAGTGGGAGACCAAGTTTGACATCCACATTTTTGCTTTTCCTTTAGGATGTGTTAAAGGATTCCCTGGGGGGTGTGTGGCAGGTATCTTCACAATAGTGTGCGTTATATAGGCAAGCAGGTAGGTGTGTTTAAATGTAGAAAACAACATTCCAGTTGGATTTTGTGTCGTGAAGAGTGTGGATATGATTTATCTGAACAGCAGCAAGACTTTCTCTCTCTCCCTCCCCGCCTTAGCTGGGCAAATAGCTGGCCGGCTCGCAGCCCTCCAATCACCCGGGCTGCCGAGCCTCCACCCCTCAGCACCAACAGCTCTCACACCACCTACAGCTGGCTTTTAAAGCAAATATTTTAAGAAAATCACTTTCAGTCATTACTCTTCGATTTAAGACGGCAGAAGTTCGGGACTGGGTAAGAGGAGCAGAAATTTGCCCAGCAGAAGTTGCTCTGAATCAGGTTTGTCATGAAGTTTACTGATGAAAGTAGTAACCTGAAAGCAACATAGCTTATTATAGGAACCTTTGCCTTTAACATATGTGCTTTTTGAGTAGCAAGAGCTGTGGTATGCAGTATTACATTTAGTTTACATTACAGCATTATTTTGTCTCTGACAAAGTGCAAATTACAGTGTTAATATATAATAGGTGCATTTTATGTTTTCCTTCGCAGTCTGACTGGAAGGTGTTTCTGCTTTCGGATGATAAAGCTTTCCTTTTCCATGTTATAATATTAGACTTATGTTACAAGTGGTGCTTTCCAATTTTAGGGCTTTACTTATTATTTAAATACACTACTTTGAATATTGCAGGACATAAGGAGTTTTGTGAAAGTCTCGGGCACAACATCAACTTTTAGGATGCTTGCAGTAAAATCATGTATTGTCTCTGTGTGTGTGTACACAAATAATAGGCTGTACCTAGTTTTGCTTCACCTCTGAATTCTTTTACTTTCATGTGTTATTGCACTAGATCTAATCAATGCAATACTGCAATTTTGAATAAGGCTAAATGTACTTAAGAGCAACCTAAAAATTTTCTTATAAATTCTACATATGGAAAACATAAGATACAAACTTCTACAGTTTTTTCAGACAGATTAGGTTGAATGAAGACTCTAATCTGTATGTAATCAGTATGTATTGATATTTTCCTATTTTCAATATGTTACGAACTTATGGGAGTATTTTCTCCTAATTGGTATGTTGTTTAAAATGTTAAACTACTGCACCTAAAAATTATTATATATTATAGTATATAATATTAGCTCAAGAAATTAGTGTATAAGTAAAGTATCTTTAAGTTACTTTTGCTTCAGGAATCTTTAAACATACCACTCAATAACAGTATTAAAACTTTCAGAGGTTTTATATTGCTTTATAACAGCTGCTTGCCACGTGAGATTTTTATCTTTTTTATTAGAGCTTTTAACAGAAGATTTTGTAGGAAAAGTTGAATGGGAACTGCAGCAAAACTTTGGGTTTTCCCACCTGTAGCTTGGGTTTGATGTGTACTAACTTAAACCACTTATTACACATTTTAATTTAATGTTATTTTAATTCAAGTGTGATGATACATGATATAAGTGACTTTTTTGCTCCAGTATCCACCTATTATTTGTGTTTTGTTTTGGGGTAGGAGGCTGTAATGTTACTCTTACATGGAAAATACTTTGCAAAACCTGTAGATTTTACGTGACAGTGAAGCAGTCAAAGCAATTTTAAAGATGAATACAAATTTTGCAGACGGAGACTTTGTCCCTTGCATTGTGTTTGTAGTTAGAAATTTTTTGACATTGAACTTTTCCTGCTACAAGAGGGCTGACAACAGACAACCATTAAATGTTCCTCATCATCCATTTGAGTGGGAGAGCTGGTATGAATTATAAGGCTGAACTCATCTTCTTGGGTTAGTATTCAGATGCCAGGTGGTCAAGGAGTAAATTATCTGGTTTACAACTGGCCAGGAGAGACTGAAAGTTGGTTGGCTCTATCAGCAGCTACTGTAAAGAAAAAAAAAACAAAAAAACCCAAGACAATAAAGAACAAAAGGGATTGGAGTATCTGTGCTTATTCAGGTACTCTGATAAACACCATTCTGTCCAGTGCCTTTCCTATCTAAATTGTCCTCCTGTCCTGCCTGCCTCTTCGTTGCATGCGGCTGAAGGGGTAAAACTGTAAGGTGCCATGTGGACAGCATTGAGATTCTTTCTAGGAATGCGTTTCAGGAAGGAGGAGGCTTGAATATGGGTTGAACATTGGTCCTCCAGCCTATGGCAGTTGAACTGGGGCTTCCCTTTTTCAGAGGACTGTTGGAGATGTATACCGTGTTACAGAGTAATCTGTAGCTAAAGAAAAGCTTAGCCCAAGAGAGACTTCAGAAGTGCAGTGACCCAGCACGTGCAGAGGCAGGGAGCTGCCGCCTCAGTTGTACACAGCAAAAGGAACGTGCCAAGGTCAGTGAAAAATGGACTTCACAGGTGTTTGCTTGTGACAAATGTCTCTGTAAAGTAGACTTCACCAAAGCGGAGCCTAGCACAGGTTTGAGTGCATGGGAGAAGCAACAGCTTGGGTCTGCTCCTCACCTTAGTTAGAAATAACTGCACGTTGTTGGTGAGTGCAAGGGCATTTTCCTTTTTGGTTTCTTATCGCTAATTTCCTATGCGTAAACTCTGTATAAGCTCAGGATTCAATCTTTACTCTCTTTAAACTGCATGAACAGCTCAGCCCACCCTGACTGATTGCCCTTTCAGGATACATGCCTAATGCCATTGTTCAAAGGCACGCTGGTGTCCAAGTCTGCTCTGAGAAACGTAGGACAGGTGCCTCGGAGATGCCTCAGAAGCACTGTGAGCTCTGTCAGCAGCAGAGCATTAAGAGCTCGCTTCCTTCTTGCCCGATTACCCAATATATTACCAAAACCTCTATTTCCCAAGCTCTCAAGTGTGCCTCCCCAGGAAGGCTCAGAGAAGACCCAGTGCTCATCAGCTGTGCGGGACCTTCAGTGGGGGCTGGGGCCAGTGCCGGTGGGGCTCATGGCAGCAGAGGCCACAGTGGGACGAGGCAGACTTAGACTGCAGCAGGGAAAAGAGGAAGTAAAAAGGAGCAATTAGGAAAATACTGAGACCTGCTGGTCAAAAAGTAGGAGAGGTCATTTTTTTCGGTGTTTGCTTACCCTGCTTCATGTTCCTGTCTGTCCTAAAGATCAATAGAAAAGGAAACCGTGAGATTTGCCCACTCATATTGGCTGGTGCGGGAATAAGAGCCTTTTTAAGAGTGTGTGGTTGCAGTCAGTGGAAGCTTATCTAGGACAATGCTGCCACCAAAAGGCACACCCAGCTGTTACCTTCTTTGCTTCTGTAGGTTAGTGTTTGAGTACTCGGCCACAGTGTTACGGTAAGCTGTGTTTGTGAGTCAGCACGCATTGGCACTGGGTCAGAGCCCACGTTCTCCTGCAGTGGGCAACGCGTTGAAGGATCTGCTTTACAAGGGACACCTCAGAGAAGCTTACATTTGACAGTGACTTCTGAAGACACCTTGTCACCACTTACCTACATCATCTGGTCCTGTGTGGAGGCCAAATATCCTCATAAGCTCATCAGTTCTTCCTGCTGCACCTTCCTGTCATGTATGAAGTGATGAGTACCAGAGTCTTGGGATGTCTCAGCCAAATCTGAAAAGGGACCATGTCTGAGGTACAACACTGCACTTGGTACACAGCAACAGAAGCTGTGAAGCAGTGTTCATTGTTTATTGTGCATAGTAAGTATAGGAAACAGTATAACACATTACGGATTGCAATGGTCATTGTAAAAGGGTGTGTGTTCATCAAGTCCATATTAGGATGGATATGCCTAAAAAGATACATTTCTCATGCGTAGGAGATTTTTTTTTTTCTCTACAGACACAAAGTTTGTATCTTGAACCTTGTCTCTATTTGTGTTCCAGTTTTTAAAGGCTAAATAAGAAAGAGTGGGTTTGAGTCAGAACAGTTGTTTCATTTTACTGGCTTGTGGCTAGCAAGAACCAGCCTCCTGTCCTCTCCACAAGAATCAGAGAAAGCAGAAGCAGAAAAAAACCCTCCTATTTTGTCACAAGGATTCCTTCTCAGCAGAGAAAACCATAATATCACCCACCTGGCCACTGTGATAGATGACTTCACAACCTTCAGGACTTCTTGTCCCAAATTGCAAAGGACCTGAGAAATCTGGATAGCATTTGAATAACAAAAGTCTTGGAAACTGTTTAATGTTCTGAGAACAATGTCTGCCAGAGTAGTTTTTCCTGTTAATGAAATACCAAATGAACTATCATTTGGCGAGTGGAAGGGGTGTGTGAAATAATTCCTTAAAACAATGCCATGTTTCTGCACCATTGAAATTGCTAAGGGGAAGGGTGTGAAGTCAGAAGAACATTGCTGCCTGTCACCATGGGCTACAGTCTAATGAGTATATTAATATCATAGAATCATGGAATGGTTTAGGTTGGAAGGGATCTTAAAGATCATCTAGTTCCAACCCCCTGCCATGGCATAGAGAACTGACAACAAATATAGCATCCCAAGTGATTGCTACAGCTTCAGAAGTGTCGTCATGGAAAAAAACAGTGGCCTTGGGAGTACTTGTCAAAGTACAGCCCAGGACAGACAAACCTGGCTTTGAGGGAGTAGAGCACCTCAGCCTTGGGCCCAAAGAAAGGCTGCTCTTACTGAAGAGTTCAGGAGCTACAGGAGGGGATTTTGCCTGGACAGTTCGACGTTTATTTCCCTCAGAAGAACTTATGGATCTCTTCTGTCTGCCGACATCCACATCATCTTAGTTCTGAAGCTGATGTGTGGAATCACCTCAATGGGTGAAGTCTGGATACCATGGGCAGGTACTTATCTCTAGGAGTCTGGCAGTGCTGAAAGGACCGCCTAATTGCAGCAGAGCTTTGGAAACGTGCCTGTCTTGCCTCCTTCCACTGTCCTGGGGCAGCTATCACCTTTCTAATGGGCATTAAGCATCACTGCCCAGAGGTATTCAATTCCATTCACCATCCTTTATCAACTTCCCTTTTCTTGAAAGGGAATGGAGACCTTTTTTTTTTAAGAATGCTCATTGAAGACAGAAGTGGCACATCTGAGTGTACTTGGGGAACTATTACAGGAATAGGGAGAAAATGTTTCTGCAGGGAAGTCTCTTTCTTTTTCTTTTTCATACCCAAGAGGACTTTTTTCAAGCAATCTCACATTCAGGATGGCAGTTCTCTTTGTTCTAGGATCACTGCTCACTGCTAAGTGAGCTTTCCATCTTGATGCAAAGTCAAGTGGATTAGTGTTAGTGGATTGAACTACTGGAGTAGAAATGCCCTTTACTCGTCAGGAAACATACAGACCGGGGAGGAATCTGCCAGTAGAATATCTTCAGTCTCAATGAAAAAGATTCTCAGGTCCCAGGAGGGTTCCAGTTAGCAAATCATGATCAGAGTATAGATATTTCTGGTATGGGTTGCAAAGACAAATATCAGTTTGGGGAAGTGGCAAATGGTATTGCTGAATTCTTACCAAACTATTCATCAGCAATACAATTCAAATACTTAAAGAAAGGCAGAACTTGTACATTATTGCTGCCTTTTTGAGATATTATTTTCTATGGGATGCTCATGTCCTGCCTCCCAAACAAATGCTTTGGACCCTCAGCTATCGGGGTTTTTTTGAGTTGGGAAGCAGGGTCACTGCTGTTCCTCCTAGCAGACACCCGGATCACAGGCCAGAGAAGCACTGCCCATCTGCTGGCCTCCAGGACCTAGCTGGTCACAAAATCTGAGCTTGTGTGCCAGAGCCGATTGCGCCCTGCACTGTGACAAGCACTCAAAATGTTGAAGAACGGCAGTTGGCATGGGATGAGCAGTTACCCCATCAGGTTTTGTTAGATGATTGGCAGGGAGAGTTGTATGAGATTTCTCGTAAAGATAATCAGTTCTGGGAAACTTCATTGGTGTGGGAGGGAGTAGAAACACTATTTTGATCTGCTTTCAAGCAGTTTTTACTGAAGCAAATTCTAAAGGCAAAATCCACATATTTGAAGGCAAAAGGAGATTGCATTGGCTCTGTCAGAATGCTGTATTTTAAAGCGTTTGCTGTTTATAGCCTTGGTGTTGCAGTTTTAGATCTTAGAAGTCCTTATTTATGTTGGTGCTGCTCCTTACCTTAGGAGTCCTTATGATATTGAGATATATGTTCTGGTTCTGTTTTAGAAATGGTTAAGAAGCGGCCATTAGCAGGTAAATAGAAATTTCTTTTTTACAGCAGTATAGTAAACATAAAAGTAATGGATGTTTTTCCATGGGGAAATAGTGCAAAATCTAAAATTAGGAATACTGAATCCCTGATTTGTTTCCTGGGGAAAAAGCACATTCCAGCTTATTTAATGTCACAGAAGAGTGTAAATATATTAATCAGTAGGTATGATTAAAGTTCTTTATGCAAATATGTTTTTTCATTGTTTTCCACCAGTGCCTATGCTACCTTTTATGTACTGTAACAATTTCTTTTATTTCAGAGCTCTACATCCACCATGTTGCCCTGTGGACCAGCTTTGTCCTTTGTTCGATGTCTGGTGCGGAAGAAGAACGTGAGCGGCGACAGCCTTGAGGACTCCAAGTTGTGCCGCTGCCTATCGACAGTGGACCTTATCGCCCTGGGAGTAGGAAGTACCCTTGGTGCTGGTGTTTATGTCCTTGCTGGAGAAGTAGCCAAATCTGATTCTGGACCTAGCATCGTTGTTTCTTTCCTCATTGCTGCGTTGGCATCTGTGATGGCAGGTCTCTGCTACGCTGAGTTTGGTGCTCGCGTTCCCAAGACTGGTTCTGCGTATTTGTATACTTACGTAACTGTCGGTGAACTGTGGGCTTTTATCACTGGTTGGAATCTCATTTTATCCTATGTTATAGGTAAGATCAAGAACAAACACAGGTCTCAAGGGTTTCTGAGACAGACATCTTAGATCGATATGGATTTGGGTCTGTCTTTCTTTTCTGTCTCTGTACTTAGCTGCTATTCTCATTGCTCCTGCTGGGCTCCAAGGTAATTGGATTAGGTTATTTCCTCCTGTGCATCACCATTGCAAACAGGTTTTTTGCAAGATGCTTTTATAAACAGTGTGTCTTCAGCAGCATGAACTGCATACCTTGTATGAAAATTGTGTCAGACAGTTCAGTGATGATGCACAAGAATAAAGAGGATTTCTTTGCTGTCTTTGGTCAGCAAGAATAATTTCAGTAAAATCACTAAGCATATGTTTTTCTGAGTATACACAGCAAGGACATTTACAGGGACCTCATCACTATAGTATCTCACTTCAAGAAAGTAATGAAGTTTAAGTACTAATTTGTTACTGTAACCTCATGCTTATTAAATGGTGTCCAATCATGTAATCCCATAAAATACAAAGTTGACCTGATCTGAATAAAATCAATGCTCATATGGCAAGTATTCAAGTAACTATTTCAGTGCTTTAGCAGAGACGATGTTTTTTGATTCAAATACATTTTCTTCAAGAAGTACGTGTTCCAAGCATCCATTGTATTGCGTGTAAGCGTGCCTAGCTTTATATGTATACCTAACTACAGGACTGTTGCCCAAATCATGACAAAATCAATATGCCTGAGTTTGTATAGTGTTGAAGTGTATCTCATGACAGGAGAGTGGCAAAAATAAGGTTGTATTGAGCTGTGGCCACATACATGCTTTACTAGAGGAGAGTATTAATATTAAATACTGCCTCCAGCAATATACATCTTCCTAGGGCTTTTTTTGCTTTACTTCCAGGTGCACAAACTTTCCTTTGTGTTCTTTCTTAAATGGTTTTCTTACATTGCTTTATATTAAACATACACCATATTGTAACTTTAGAAATGTGTCTTCCAGAATGACATCAAATATAAATGACCCAGAAATAATATCTCCAATACTTTTGGAATAGATGAGGTACAAATTTGTATATTTTAGTTGTAGAATAATACATTATTATTTAACTATGTAGAAAAAATCTAAAATGTTAAAATCCCTTGGCAAAAAAAAAATACCGCTGTTTTAACACAAGGTCTGATTTTTTAAATGCAAGTAGCAACATGCTTAGTTTTATTTCCTTTTCAGTAGAAGTAACTGTGTCCTTGTATGTATGCTATACCCTAAACATAAATGTGCTTTGTGAAGGTACATCAAGCGTAGCAAGAGCCTGGAGTGGCACCTTTGATGAACTTCTTGGGAAACAGATTGGTCATTTCTTCAGAACCTACTTCAAAATGAATTACTCTGGGCTAGCAGAGTATCCTGACTTCTTTGCTGTATTCCTTATATTGCTTTTATCAGGTAAGACACATATATGGCTTCATTTATAGTGGTTGTGCTGTCAGTGTTTATTACAGACAAAAATGCTAAATTGTAGTTTGTGTTTTATCAGAAATACCTTTATAATGTCCAAGATGTTTAGATATGCATATGTGTATTCACACAATGACTTTGGGAATTAAATTTATATAATACAATTTCATGTGTACCTTCTTTTTTTTGAAGATGAGACATGAAATAATCACTTGTCAGTACTCTTTTATAAAACCCATGATAGAGATGATGATAACAGGAGAATTAACAATTTTATGTGGGTTTTATGGCTTTATTGCTAGTGAATGCTTTTGGAGGGACCTTGAGGTTAAGCTCTGTAGTTTGGTGATGTGATATGCTCTCCTTAAGTCACATATTGTGCATGTAGTGGGTATTTGTAAGGGTTTCTTTCCCTCTAAATTGATAACTTACTCAGTATAAAATAACTTTCCCCTTTTTAAGTCTTCAAAAGAGTTGTCTAGCCTAGAACTTGTTTGAGCTAAAGAGCACTCCACAGTACCGACATGGCCCAACAGACCAGTTTAAAACCTCAGTAAACGTTTCACGACTGCTCCACTCAGTTCTGTTTCTTTTACATCTTTACTCAAGTATCATGTTTTTAAATCACAAAAATTGACACTGGCTTTTTGAGGGATTGGAAAGCCTCAAAATACTGCAACTTATTTGCATTTAACAATTGTTTTCCACAAGGAAACATTCTTACTGCCACCAGCAGAGAAGGAAGCAGTGTGTGTATTTTAAAGTGTATAGTTTGTTTTCAGGCGGTCCTATGAGTATTTCAGTGTTCAGTAGAGGTCTTACCCATATCTCAGATATTTGTTGTGTTCCATCTCTCTGTAGATCAAACAACAGTAGGACCTTTTCTTCTCTGGAAAATGAAACTGTTAAGTTATATGGGTATAACCTTCTGTTCTCTTACTCTGTTACGAGGGGCTTTTTTGGACTCACTACTTGGGAAAATAATTTCATTCAACTCCTGGTGCTAGAATGAGTGGCCAGTGCATCCTAAACTTTTATTAAGTCTTTATACAGAAAAACATGAGCTCCTACAGCAGTAAGCCTTAATTTATGGGTGTGCTTGTATCTTCATTTCTTCTGCCTCTTTTGGTTTTGTTTGTTTTGCTAGAAGAAAGCAGTGAACAAAAAATGCGTAAGATGCTGAAGACCATTATCGAAAAATGTTTGAGAACTACATTATTTAAAGATTTAGGATACAGCTATACTGTGAGTCACATTGCAGTGTAGGTATTCCCAAGCTGACTCAACACCCATGCTTCCAGAAATTTTACCCCAAATTTTTGAGGTGGTTGTCATATGGTCACTGATGTAAGCCACAAGAAAGTAGCAAAAGTGGAACCTTGAGGAAGTTCATTGTACAGTTTTAAGAGTAGAATATTACTTAAATGCATTAATTTTGTAGAAGTTTTAAAAATAAATGTCTTGAGATTCAGAAGAATTTCATGCTTGCAAACAGAACATACTTTGTGAATTATCAGCATTAACAGTTGGTGCTGAGGCCCCTGTGTCTGCGCTTAAGAAGATTAGGGAGTTTACTAGACTAGTGTTAGTCCAGCATCCTGCCAACCTTGTGGTTCAAAGTTGCCTGTAGCACCAGTTCAGACCCTTATGTCTTCAGGAGTGATGGGATTCAATTTGGTATAGCTGGAATGGACCTCTCATTTTTACCTCCTCCAAAGGAAGGAGGAAAAAAACAACCTTTTGAAAACCAGAGCACTCCACAATCCAAACTATAAAATGCTAGTGTAGATGCTGCCATCTTGTATCTGTTTTCTCCGTTGCCATCACTGCATCCTAACATCAGTAGCAGACATTCTTGGTAGAAGAGGAAATGTTTCTCCTGTGGTTCTCCACTGCTCCTGAGTTTTCATTTATGTCCGGTCTTTTCATCCTCACAATCATTCCTTCTTCGTTTCTCTTGTGCTTGTGCTGCAGATTACCTCTCCGGGTCTCTCTGCAAAGTAGCTGAACCACCAGTAAATTAACTGGGTGGAATTCATCGCTATTGAGAGGAGGGGCGGTAGGGATGGCTGAGGGTTATGTAGGCTGAGCATGATACAGTAGTTGGGTTCCAAGCTGCGCAAAGCTGAATCATAGGGGTAGCGGATAATGTTTTACAGAAAATGTTATTTGCTAAGCACAAGGGAAAGTCCACAGAAAACTGCTTTGTTGTTTTTTTTTACCTACAGAAAGGATTTAAAAAATGTACATACTATGTTTCATACTGCATTAGGCTGATTGGACACCGCTTTTTTCAGAGTAACTAAGCTAAAGAAAGCATACACCTATTTCAAATAAAAATGCCATCGGGGAAGAAAACTTGAGTAGCTTATGTGATAATTTCTGTGCTATGATAAGATACCAAATGTCTCATTAGCAGAGTTGGACATTTTTTGGACATTATCTTGAGAGGCTTAAAATTTTCAGACTTAATCTCTAAATAATGAGACAAAGTATGTATGTGATATTAGCGGAAATGCTTAGAGTGCAAAGAACCTGTGGAGGCCTTCCCAGTGTATTTAATTTTTCCTGATCTGCTCACTGCCTGCTCTTCCATTAAACTGTTAGTACACTCACAGTTGTTACAAATCTAATGACAAAGTAGGATCCTGATGGAGTAACTTTCAGATTGTTTAAATGCACTACTCTGCGACCTAAGGCATGTGTATTTTGTATCAGTCTTTTTTCTAGAATCTCCATGAAACAGTGTTTATGAACAGGAGGTGTGCGTTTCTTTTAAAGGTTTTATTAATAAGCTAGGAAATGGGACTCTCACTCTATGGTGGATATGCCCTGAAAAACTTAGAGTGAACAGATCACATTATTAATCTAATAAGTTTGATTATTTTATTAATCTGATGAGTAATTCTTCTGTACAGATAGATTCTACTAATCTGTTTTCACTAAGCATAGAATTCTTGTACCTGTTTTTGCTCCATTGCACAAAATAGAGGTACGAATTGGAATCTCAGAAAAGCAGTAAGTAACAATTGCTTAGAATGCTTTTAAATATAATATAATAAAAAAGGTAATATAATTAAAGAAGCTTTCTGTTTTATGGTTTCCAAAACCTTTGCCTATTGCCATGCTGTCAAGGAGTCTTGTAAATTGGTGTTACCGCTTTTTAAAAGTATAAAATCTAGTGCTGTTTTTTTACTATTATTGACAGTACTTTCATGTATGTCTTCTTTAAAATGCCATTTTATTAGTTTAAGGGACTATTCACATCTATAACTATTTTTATTTTATAGGTCTGCTATCCTTTGGAGTAAAAGAATCTGCATGGGTGAATAAAATTTTCACTGCTATTAACATCTTGGTCCTACTCTTCGTTATGATTTCTGGTTTTGTGAAAGGAGATGCTGACAACTGGAAAATAAGTGAAGACTATCTCATAAACCTTACTGCAGTAACAGAGTAATTGTTTCTTTGAATCAATTTGCTTGCTTATATCCCAAGCAGTTTTATCTTATACTTGCTTTTGTGGTATTGCAGATACTGTATGATCTAATAGCTTTGTTCCTGGGAATGATAAACTTTTTATCCCCTTAAAAATAGTTTTTTATTTTCTTGTTTATAGTTTCCTTTAAAAAATCATCTTATTTCAATACTCTTGTCCATGGCCTTTTGGGAGGTTACTGGCTTCTCGTCCTTGAGCTATTTATTAACTGCAGTATGTGCGTATGACAGCAAGAGTTGCCTGTACCATTAGTGTTTTCATATGTCTTGCTGCAAACTGCGAAGCGAGTAAGATGATAGTTACTTGATGCGAGTGTTCTTCCATTTACTGTTATTTTTGTCTTTCTTACAAGCACTGGCATAAAAATGTCTTCTCGTGCAGTTTTGTAAAGGAGAACTCTGTCCTGAAAAAAACATTTTAACATGTTTTTCCAGAGTCATAGGGGAGGAGGATGCATGTGTTTGTCCTACCAATAATAAAAAAAAATAAGTTCTTTTTGTGCTGTATTTTTGTTCTTTGCAGAAATCGCTCATCCTATGAGAATGTGACAAGTATATATGGGAGCGGTGGCTTTATGCCATATGGTTTCACAGGAACTTTGGCTGGTGCTGCAACCTGTTTTTATGCTTTTGTAGGATTTGACTGCATTGCAACAACCGGTATAGTATTTATATGTCTGTGTATATATGTATACGTATATATGTTTCACATGCTTTTTTTGTAAAAAAAAAAAACAACCACAAACCCAAAAACACACAAACAATATAACAATCTGTCTGCTGTTTGTCCTTTGCTTTCTTCTAAACCTCCTTCAGTTCGTGTAGAATGAGTCTCAGTTCATTCCTGAATTTGGCTGCCATTCTGGGAGGAAGGAGGACATTTTACTTATTTTATTCCTGTTCTAAAGAAATTAATTGTTGCTTTCTATGTCTGGGAAGTGGTTAGTATACATTTTTTTCTGCCGAAACCATGTTAATCACCTGCTCACTTTCACAGTTCTCTGAGATGGGGTAACTCTCCTAAAGACTGGCTTGTATATGGCTGATAGGGAATCAGAGAATCATATGTGTACATTGAACTTATAAATAGCAGGTAAATAAATAGAAATGATGGGATTTGACTACTCTAAATACAGAATGTATTTTATGTCCTTTAGTTTACCTCTATTTTTTAACGCTATTTCTGGCAGCAAAATACTGAGGTTTGTTCTGTGTCAGTTTTTTCTATACAGATTTTTAAAACTTCTATTACAATTATAATTCCCATGGCTTAGATTAACAAACGGTTTGTCTTTGATGTTATCTTTTAAAGCTGAAGGTGGAAATGAAGAATTTTTGGTGGGGCGTTTGTTTTTTTTTTTTCAGGAGAAGAGGTCAAGAATCCTCAGAAAGCCATACCCATAGGAATTGTGGTGTCCCTGCTTGTCTGCTTCATGGCCTATTTTGGAGTTTCAGCTGCACTGACACTCATGATGCCATACTGTCTACTAGATGAGAAAAGTCCTTTGCCAGTAGCATTTGAATACGTTGGATGGGGTCCTGCAAAATACGTTGTAGCAGTGGGATCCCTCTGTGCTTTATCCACAAGGTAAAGACATTGAAATACTAATTTTATTGGGAAAAGCCGATGGATAATATATGACATGTAAATATATGGTCATGCATTCATTTTGAAGGCCCAGTTCATGCAAAGGATTAGCAATAAGTATTATAAGCATGTTTTAGACTTAAGCAGGTCTTGATCACAGCAGGTGCATTAATTTAAGTTCCTTTTTTTAAACTGTGCTGTTATTGAACTCTACCTCTTTGGCTTATTACCCAAAAGTTTTTTATTAAATATGTATGTTCAGACATATGACCTGCAAGTTATCTTTATTAACTCATACAATAAACCTCACCCATTTTGTCCTTTCTTGCTGTCCACTCCCAGTGACTCAGCAGCTTTATGGGCTCTGTGTATTTGCAGGCAAAATTGAAGAGATGGTTAACTAGCTCCACTCCTCATCTTCGTTGCCTGTCTCTGTTTTCCTCCAGTAGCCAGTCTGTCTTCTGACATCATCCCCTCCTGTGGTTTCTGTGTGGGTATTTGAGATGTAGAAAATATGATAATGTATTCCCCTTTGTGAAACTGTGGATGTAACCTTACCTTAACGTGTTATTTTGATTAAAAAGATCAGGGAGGGCATGAGATATATATTAGTATGTATTCATATACATTACACCCCAATTCTAATGTGGTATAAACACTTTCATAGAATAGAACATTGCTTGATGCTTAAACTCAGGGATAGAGAAATGCTGATGCCGGCTTTCTACCTGAGCTTATGTAGGTAAGGAGTCATTTATGTGAGCTTAAGTGGTAAGAATACTGGCTGCCTTTTCACCAAGGAAAACAACATGCCTGTTTAAGCACTAATGCTAACAGGACTCTGAGATAACCCTGTAGGTATTAGCTTGAAGAAGATGAGCACACTGACTGTGGACAATGATTTAAAGGAAAGGAATATTTTAATGTAGGAGGGCATAGAAAAAGGAAATAGTTCCAGAATGACATTGAAAGAATTGTAAGGCTGAGTGAAGAATGTCATAGTTACACAGTTCATTCTGGGATTATAGTTATTTTCTATCTAGTTGTCATGGTCCCCTCACTTTGGACAGTTTTACTGAGTTTTTCCTCTGTATTGATGAATAGTAAAAGTTATATATAAGCAGAAACTAGATTAAAGAAATTAATACTGAAAAGCAAAATGAACTGAGATGGCAAAATGCTTTTACCAGTGTATTCTGAAGAATTATATTTACTCATATGGAGATGTTAATCTTTCAGTCTGTTGACTGATGACAGTTTAGAACAAAACAAAGGAAATTGTATTTCATGTTAGTCAGTTTAGAGGTATAATTAAGAAAAGAAGTTGAGATCATTGCTTTTGGTCCATAAAGTTACCTTTTATTATTTTATGTTGTGAACTTGTTTCCTCAGGGTAAAGATGTTTGTTAATATTTCTGTTATTTAAGTGAATGTACTTAAAGAGGGGTAGCATAAAGAAATTCTACAAAGCCACAACAGCAAAAAAATGGGCAGTGGATTTTAACACTATCCTCATTTGAAAATCAGTTGTCACCCTGATTTAGGAAACATTCTTTTTTGGAAGGGACGTTCATTCATCAAAATCAGTTCACGAGCAATGAAACTTGTCTCATGTGTGTCTAACCTTAGCAATTGTGGCTCACGAGCATTACTGGAGGTACTTAACATCTGTGGTATGTAAAAGCTGTGCCTTCTGTAAGTGATATAGTCGATTCCCTGAAGTAAGAAAGGCAACCATTCACCTGGTTAAAAACTCACGTGCTTGCTGCAGAAGTTATACTGGCTATGATTTTGCCTTTTGTCCTTTCAATGTTTTTGGTTTTGTTAATTACAATTATTTTGCTTTGAGGGGAAAAAAGTGCCTAATTTAAGAAATATGTTTAAAAAGAGCTTCACATTATCAACAGTTTAAAAGCTTTCTGTGTTCTGCTAATAACAAATCTAAATTAATTAGCTTTACTTCGTCAAAAAAACCCCACCCAAACCCACAATCTTAATGAAGCTTGGCTAGAGGTGCTTTAATTGAAAGAAATAATGTTCCAATGGTGCTTACTTTGAATTACTGTTAATCAGCAGCCTCACATGGAAATATGGAGTGTAAGAGATGCTGCTAATGCTTATTGATTTGCTACTGCTGACTGACAGACTTTCTCCAGGAATACTAAAGCTTAATTGCATAGTTAGTGAGACCTGGAACATGTTCCTGGTCCACTAATACCCAAGAACTACAGTGATGGCAAGAGTAATTTTGCTAATCTGAATTTTCTCGGATGAAGCAATTCCATTACCGTTTTTTTTTTTTTAAAAAAAAAAAAAGCTATTGACTTTACAGGGAAAAAGAAATTTCTATTTGTGTCTGATCTGTAGTATCTTCGGCTATGGGGCTTTCTGGTTTTGTCTTACAATCATAAATTTTGTTTCTATACATGCCATTAATTAACATTGTTTATCTTGTCCATGATACAACTCTGCATGAACTGTGTTTGCCATGTTGCATGTGTTTGCTTTTTACTCAGTCTTCTTGGATCCATTTTCCCAATGCCTCGTGTAATCTATGCTATGGCGAAGGATGGGTTGCTTTTCAAATGTCTAGCTCAAATCAGTTCCAAAACGAAGACCCCACTAGTTGCTACTCTATCGTCTGGTGCAGTAGCAGGTGAGACTAAGAGTTGATCCTTGTAAAGAAAGGTGCACTGCTAAACATGTTGCATATATGGAAATAAACCACTGTTGTGCAGCTTTGATTTGCTTTGGACTGAAATGATCAAATCTGATTGTTGCCAGGTAAAGTAGGCTAGCAGTGAAACTTTCCTCTGCCACAGATTTTGCATTTGTTCATTAATCTCAAGTGCTTTCAAAGCCTAGGTTCAACATAAACAACAAGCCAAAACCAAACAAAAAACCAAGAGCAGCAACACAGAGCCTAAACTAAAACTATACCTAAACCCATTAACTCTTCCAAGCTTTCTTTTTGTGTAGTTGGGTTTACCAGTAAAGCATTGTGCTTTTAATAACCTGTATTTGAACTATACATTTTTCTGTTCTAGTCTTCTCGGCTCTATGTTCCCTTTGCCCCGAATTCTGTTTGCCATGGCACGTGATGGTTTACTCTTTAGTTTTCTTGCCAAAGTGAGTAAGAGGCAGGCACCAGTTTCTGCCACCTTGACAGCAGGGGTCATCTCTGGTAAGCTCGCAAAGCCCGTGTTACTTAAAACTGAGATTTGAACACTCTATGCACGTGCATGGTACTTTATATTTTTGAAAAGGGCTGCTTGTTAACTTCCCTTGCATGTATGATGGGAATAAAATTACCAAGTAATCTAAGGGTGTAAGATCTCCAGATCATGCCAATCATGGTGGTGGTGATGATGTCCTTAATACCACAGAATTAAAAATGATTTTTTAATTTTTTTTTTTAATATTGGCCTCTTGTATTGTGAATAAGCTTGTTATTTAATCTGGGTCCCTTAGGCTGATGCTCTGCTTACAGGGTTTTCTTGTCTGATGTGCACCTATATATTTATCACATCTGTAAGGGGGGGAAATAACTGTCACATTTTTTATTATGAAACATGAGAGAAAATTTCTACATTTGCAACAGGATCAACTTTTGTGTAAAATACAAAGACTTTTAAATTTTCTTCTAAAGAAAAAGGATTCTGTTTTTGTGTAGGCTTAACAAATTGTGGTTGAGGGGTATGTGTGTGTGTGGGTGGATTTTGTGTGTATGCACATACATGCACACATATATTTTAGCAAAACAGCAATTTGGGAGATGTTGCCAACTCTTAATGTTTCACAAAGACAAATTTTTTAACATACAACTGTTTCACTTTTGTCCATATTTCTTGCAGAGGTACATGTAATTGTGCCCAAATTTCACTGACATTTCAGTGGGATGTCTACGTAGGAAAACTGGAAGCTCTAGTCTTTAAAAGTAATTCAAATATGAAATACATGCCTTATAACATTTAGCAACCCTGGCTAAAATTGATATCAAATAAGAGGTTAAGAACTGAGACTAAAATATTGTTATTTATAGTCAGGGTCATCTTCAGATGCCACAAGACTGGAACTGCTCGCGCTGTGTACTTGACAATAATATGGGAAGGCACAGTCATTGTCCGGATAGTTCCCACATGAAGCATTATTATCAGTTCCCTTTTCTTCAGTCAGAATACAAATAAATTGCTTAGAATTACTTTTATTGTTTTGACTATATTATTTGAATTTATGTTATTGACTTTTTCCGCTATAATAATCTAGAAGTGCAGTTATGTGGGATGAAATGAACATCTTTATCTGAAATCTCAGTAATGATGAGGAGAAAGAAAACCATGTTACCCAGCCGGTAAACTGATAAAGTTATACAGCCCTGACTATAGCTATGCAGCAGCCATCACTTGGACTGCTTTCAGACAGTTTAGGGAATTTGGTGTGTCAACAACTTGCCTGAAGACAGCTTTATCTCCTGCTAGAGAAGGAGGCTTTTCGTCTTCTATTTTTAAAAAGATGCATATTTGGTAACTTTTGGTCATAAATAGTTTTGCCAGAATGGTTACAGATGTATGCAACAGCTTCTATTATCTGACTTTTCTATTCATTTATAGCATGGGTAGTTTCATAACTTTAAGAAATGTTAAAGAGATTAGATGTTTTGCCCCTTAATTAAAGTTATCAGGTCAAGACCACAGCTGAGGCAATTGTCACATGTTATTAGTGTGACTTACCTGTTCACATGTGGTAATTGTGACTGCAAAACTCTGCAGATAGAGAAATGTTTTCATGTCAGTCCAAGGTTTCTTCACCATAAGTTGATCTACCATTTTTTCTTACAATTGGAGCCAAATTAAGAGAGGTGGAAAAGCAATACTGTGTCTTTTTTTCTCTTAGTCAGAAACTTAGAGGAATTCTTCAGTTTGGTTGTAATGTAAAAGAACATTCAGGGCTACAAGTAGCCTTTCGAAGCTAGGATTAAAAATTAAATATAGCTATTGTACATGAGGTTATAGTAGGTTCTGCTGTTCCTCAGCTTTGCTTACCTATGCTCTTTTGAGCATGGAAAGTAGTGAGGTATTCAGAAATCTACCCCGTAAATGACTTCTTGGATTTAGGGACATCCACCATCGTTAAAGAAAACAGGATGGTCTTCCTTCCTTCATTGGAAAAGAAGACTTACAGATGAAATAAAACTTCTGTAACACAGCAGTCTTGTGTTACAGAAGTCACATTCTGCTTTCTCCCTCAGGATGAAATACCAGGGGAATGCGTGTTTGTGTGTTTGTGCACTTATACACCTGGCTACAAATATATTAGCAATCACATAACATAAATACTATAAGTTTTTCTGAATACAGAAAAAAATGTGTGTACATATACATACAGTGTATAAAGGCTATGTTTAATAGTTTCTTTTGACATTGAGATTACTGGTGATTCAAAATATTAAGTATTTTTAGATTCTTTCTGCATCTCAATAATGTTAATAAAATACAGAAATTTTAAGAGGTTCTTTGACTACATATATTTCAAATCAATTAGCATCAGCCTTTCATTTAGTGATGGCTTGTGCCAGTTTCTTTACGAGCTATGTGTGTCTGTGTGCGAATAGCATAGACAAAAAAAGACATTCCGGAATCTCAGAGATGTGGCATTAGCTTTTATAAGCACAAAGACCGCTATAATTACTCTCAGTATCATGGAAGTTTCTGCCTCTGATTTCAGTGATCTTAAGAATATTAATTTCTGTGAGATTTTGCTGGCCTTTCCTGAAGGCCACTTGAACTTAACTTTTTTTTTAGTAAGGCAATCAATTTAAAAAACCCCACAAAACTTTTTTATTTGAGACAACTCCTCAAAGTCCTCTTTACATAGAGCTCTTTCTCAGCTCAGCAGAAGTTTTACATACTGGTGACTTACTGGGTCAGATTACTTTTCCCCAGTTTTTGTGGTGGGATCCATCCTCTCAGATTTGGTGAGGTTCTGTTGCAGGATCTGAAACTTATTCTATAAAAATGTATTTTTATTGTGGCCCCTATTCAACAAGCCATGTGTGCAAATACTTACGTCCAAGTAAGTCCAATATGAATCGCTTGATTATGCAGCATGACTGTACAGCTCATCAGTGCGTGTCTATATGAATGAGATTCCCAACTGTAGGGAATTAGGTCTGGGAATGTTGGTGATGACTTTAAAGATGTGTTTTTAAGGATTACCATGATTTCCCTCATATTGTTGTCAGTAAAACAATGCAATTATCCTGCAGACAGATTTTAAAATCTTAGCTCTTAATGTGTCTTAATATTAATCTTAGCACTTACGGTTGGACTTGATGATCTTAAAGGTCTTTTCCAACCTAAATGATTTGATGATTCTATGATTCTGTGTCAGCCTCATATAAATTTTGCATTTTCTTTTCTTTTCTTTTTTAGCCATAATGGCATTTCTGTTTGACCTAAAGGCTTTAGTGGACATGATGTCTATTGGTACACTTCTTGCTTATTCACTTGTGGCAACCTGTGTCCTCATTCTTAGGTGAGTCAAAAACATGCTGTGTTCCATTTTGCGTTGGTCAGTACATAAACAGAACTGCTAGATAGCTAAATGTTTAAAAATTAGCTGTACACATACAAATTATTACTAAGAACCAGTGACCCATCAAAGAAAACAATGGTATATTGTCATATCAGTATAACGGTTAGTCAAGTCAAAGCTTCATGTGAAATCTAGACACCTTTTATTTTCCAGAAGATGTACTGGTCCAAGCATTAGTCCCAAAGGTACCAGATGTAAGCTTGTGTACACAATTCAGTGAATGATATTTTGATAGGAATGCAATCTATGCTGTACATCAGGCCTCTTGCATTGTGGGGGCTATATGTGAAAGGTGTAGATGTTCGTGGGGGCTATATGTGAAAGGTGTAGATAGTAGTAGATAGGTAGTTCACAGGATGAACAAGTTCCAGTAATTGCTTTGTATTACCCTAGTCAGAAACTTAAGAACACGCAAGTGTTTCAAGATGTGGTAGACATAGAAAAGAGCGCAAATATTATCTCTTGATGAGTGAGATTGTAACTGTTTGTCAGTAAAACTCTGGTATCTGTTCTGTTTGTAAAGTTATGGAATAATATTGATATATTGGTAGCTACAGCTCACTTTATTATGTATTGCTCTTTTTAACTTAAAAAGTCAGTGCTTATTACTCACAGCTAAGTAATTAACTTTGAAAAGTAAACCAGCTTAAATTCAGCTCAAATTCAATGTTGCAATAATTTCCACTTTAAAAGAGAAGACTATTTTATCCCATATTGACTTACTTAACATACGTATTTTTAAAAATACACTTAAATTCTAACAAAGCAGATGTAAAATTTCAGTTTGTGCCAGTTAGTACGCCACTTGCAGTACAGAAAGAAAGTCAGAAAGAAGCTCCCCTACCCTTTCCCTGCCATTGACCCACCAGACCCTGTCCCCTCTTTTTGTACGAGACTGGTTGTTTATCCGACCCATTGGTGCATTCACATAGCTTAAAAAAATGCCCCCAAAAATCCCAAGCCAGAGCCAGCAAAAAAGCGAGTTGCCGAAGTTTGTTTATATATGATAGTGGCTAATAATATATGCTGTTGCAGTGCAGTTATAAATTGAGAAATTCTAAATCTGTACTGCAAAGAATTAGTATTTAAGTGCATTCCTAGAGTCATATTGCTTCAAATGCCCAAGTAAGCTTAACTTTTAATATCCTGGGATTTTTATGCATAGGTACCAACCCAGTTTAACCTATGAGCAACCAAAATATTCTCCAGAGAAAGCAGCTTTGGCTGCATCTGAAAGGGAATCTGCAGTAAGTGAATCACAGATAAATATGATACAAGAGAATCACTTCAGTCTTCAGGCCTTGATTAATCCATCCAGTTTACCTACCGAGCAGACTGCAACTACCGTTAACTTTTTGGTGGGTCTCTTGGGTAAGTACTCAGCTGTCCAAACTCATATAATGCATTACCACAAATAATGGAATTTTACTAAAGACAAAATTAAAAATCCAATGATAACATGCCTCCTTTCAGTCATAATTAATGTGACATTCTGTAGAATGCTTTTATACTTCTTGATGGAGCTAATCTGCAGTCTACTACATTTTCCTTTAATTAAGCATTTTCATGAAGACATTTCATGCTGAAGACCTGCTGTCATTCCTCTTAAAAGTCATGTCATTTTCAATGCTGAGATTAAGTGACCTCTTTCCCATTTCCATCATTCTTTTTTTTTTTTCACACAGCTTTCTTGGTTTGTGGCTTGAGTGTCCTCACTACTTATGGGATTGATTTCATTGCTAACTTGGAGCCCTGGAGTATTGGCCTTCTTGCTGTACTGGTGGTGTCCTTCATAGTTACCATTCTCCTCATCCAAAGGCAGCCTCAGAACCAGCAGAAAGTGGCCTTTATGGTGAATAACATATTCTCTATGTTATTCTGTAATGAGAGTTTTGGATGGATGCTAACAAGTGGGAGAGGGGTAGAGAGAGAGGGAGATGGTCCTTTTCAGGCAGTCTTTCATTACTGAACTGCCACTATTGCAGGTTTTTTTGGTGAAGGTGAGGGTAGCAGATGCTAATGACTCACACGCTCATCAGCATGGGCAGTTCAGTCCAGATCTTCTCAGGTCTAGAGAAAGGGTTTCATTGCCCACAGATCGAAATGTGTGACATACCAGGAGCATGGCTGCAGAAAATGGCTGTACCACTGACGTTGGTGTGAACAGCTGCTATTACAACTAGTGGATCTGACAGCACACATCTTCCAGGTATTCTTTTAGACACATCCCCAAAGTGCACATTGCTGAGACCCAAGTCGTTTTAGACCTCAATTTAAGCCCTTCGAAACTGAAAGATAATTCAGAAACTGATTAGTGGGCAGTCACTTATCTGTGTTGCGTGCAGTGGTTTGGACCACAATACAGTTTGTACCTCCCAGAGCACACGCCTTTCATTTTGAGCTTTCACTTATGTTCTAAGATCAGTTATTTAACAGAATTAATGAAGTATAGTGATGAAGGTCAAGGAATCTGGTGGAACTGGGCAGGCAATTCAGAAAGAAGTAATATATAAAAATATACAAATAATGTTTTTCAGCTGTCAATTCAGGAATTCATTAGTATATATTCAGCATAAATGGCAAACTTTTTCTTCACAGCCTTAGAGAATATATTTTTAAAATAATTTATTTTAAAAGTTTAATATATGTAGAAACCAGTGGTTATACCCAGTGAGAAAGAAAATGTCACTCTATTTCAAGAAGAAAATTTTCCCATTATTTTTAGTGACTGGATGTGTCACCTCTAGTTTGTGTTGTATAACTGGTGTGACAAGCAAGAAATTACATTTAATGCAACAAACCTATTAAATATTTCTTTTTAGGTTCCACTATTGCCATTTTTGCCATCATTCAGTATCCTGGTAAATATTTACTTGATGGTACAATTAAGTGGAGACACTTGGATCAGATTTAGCTTCTGGATGGCACTTGGTAGGTATTTCTGTTCATTTCAATCGCCTCTTAGGCTAGGACTGATGAATCCCATCTTACATTTTATTCTCTTCCTTTAAATACTTGAACAAAAGTCACAAATGTGTTTTACCAAGTCAGCTGATATTTCTGATCAAGACAAGAGCATGTCTCAGAAGGGGTATTTATATGCAGTCAAAACTGTAAATACAGTTTTGAGGTAATAGAAAGAATCAAAGTTATAGGACTAATTCCAATAAGCCACAATTTTTATTTCCTAATAAGTGTAGCTAAAATTTTGCAGAGACCTGTTTGTAGCATTTTTCTTACCAGTACATCAGTCATTCTCCTTTAAGACATGGAAAATTGTATTAATTCCATCTAGACATAAATTAGAGATAGTACTTTCCATGACCTATTAAGAGCATTCATTTATGCAAAAAATGATGCACTGCAATTTAGTGCCTGCACTTTCCATAGAAACAGGGAAGACCTGAAGCACGAGCTCTAATTCAGATAACTGAAGAAGAAACTTGTTTTGGAAAATATGTTCAAGCAGAGAGTAATAACTAACTACTTCCCTGAAAACCCTATTAAATTTTCTTTTTTCCTCTTGGAAGGCTTCCTCATTTACTTTGGTTATGGCATCAGGCACAGTCTTGAAGGCCATCGTAGTGATGGAGATGACGATTCTTGCTCAGAAAATAGTGGGCTGCAAGAAAAGAACCCTGTGGAAGAAGTGGATGAACCTGAAAATGCAAATGAAAGTGATCAATTTCTTGCACATGAGAGGACAAGTGAATGTTAATCTATGCAAACATTACAAATCTTTTAAACCTTTAATTGACATTTTACTTGCGGACTGAAATTTCTAAAGCTTTCTGCCAACATTGTGCCTCTTGAAAGTGTTTACTACAAGGCCTGGCTGATATTCTGGATAAGCTGCTAATCCATCTTCATCATTTCAGAACTGACAGCATGGAGATTAATATTTAAATTAAAAAACAAACAAGAGAAGTACCCTTTGGCAAGCAAAAATTTGGATACAGTTTGAACTGTCATCCAAAATCACTCGCAATCACAAAATATGAAGAATTTTAGAACTGCATGCAAGAAGTGATGAATATTTGACACTGCATTGTGAACACAAGTGCCTTTCTTACCTTCTCCTTACCTCTGTTATGTCTTTCGGTCACAGTCTGATAGCTCTTTTTTTTCTACAGAAGTAACTCTTACGGGAGATGAATTCCAGATAGGCCTGGAAATTATTTGCAAAACGAATGGTAATTGTACAGATCTGATACTTTGCAAAAACAGAGGATTGTATATTTAAACAAAAAGCAATAATTACTTACCCTTACTAATCAGGAGTCGTGGAGAACTCAAACGGTGAAGATATACTTCAAAGGCTTTTAGTTCCTTTAAATAGCATTCAAGATTTCTACTTATGTGATTCCTTTCCTTTCAGAGATGCTGCGTGTATAAAACAATACTCCCAAAAGGAGTTAATGTTGTTTTATGGAAAAGCATCTGGGAAATAATCTGTTGGTCATAGTATCGACAGTGACATTTGTATGTGATTTAACAAGTATTGTGCTTTTGATTTCAGAAGGGCCAGGATTTTATCCCTGACTACGTAATTTGGTACTTACATACAGCAGTCACCAAGTTTTCCTCCTTAATATTTATTTATTCCCCCTATACTTTCTTCTCCTTTATCATGTGCCAGAGCTGATATTTCTGAGATTAGTTGTTCCATGTTGCTTCTCCTCAGAAAAATGAATGCAGAATATCTCAGCCTTCTTTTCAGATGGAAAGGGAGGTTAAAAAAACGGAGACCCAAGCTTTGGAAAAATTCCTCGTCAAAACAGTATTTCAGTACTTCACTAAGCCTTAAACAGATGTTAGCACAGCAGTTTTTCATGAGCCAACCCACATCCACAAATCCATTCACATGGATAGGATGTCCAAACGCTAATTTATGTAAAGTACCAAATTGTTGCAGCAGTGCTGGGTGAACAACTGTTTTAAAGCTAGTGAAAATGGAAACTGTTCTTTTAACATAAAAGTCATGTTACCTGTCAAAGACACCCAGTTATTTTACCACTTTTTCTCAGCAAGTAATAGGCTTCAGTCCTATGACAGATTCCAGAATATAGAGTTATTCTGCAGGAATGTATTTATAAAAATAACTTCCCTAAAGTAAGAACTGTCTTCGACTTTGTCATGGAGAGTTGCAATCTGTTGCCGGTACTAATCATTGGTATTAATCTCTGTTGTTAGGTATCAAAACTTTAGATCCCATGAGAGCTATGTTGGTTGACAGTGAAAAGCACCTTACTTTTTGTTATAGCTGGAATTTCACAAAAAAAAAGAAAGAACGAGAAAAAAAAAGAAACTAGTTAAGCTGCTTCTGTCTCTCTCTTGTTCTTTTTCACAGTAATAGATTTCACGCTTTTTAACCTTGAAACGACTTCTGCTGCTGCAAGAGAGTAGCGTGCCTTAATGTTAAAGTGCAGAAGGAGAAGCGCTTCTTGATAGAGAACCCTGCAATGGGCTGAGAGTCCACCGTGGAGCAGGTCTGAGGTTTTCAGCCTGATCCTTTCTCCTCAGCTTGAACTTGGAGGAGAGGGTCCTGCGGAGCTGGCAGTAGCGAGCGGACAGATGTGTGCTGTTGCACCAGTGGCCTCTACTGGCTACTCAGCGTTTGGAGTGGCAATCTGAAAATGTAAGAGGCGTGCAATAGGCAAAACACCTACCTCTTAACCGAGGTTCCTGTGTACACATCCTCTAACTGCAACTGCTGTTGTCCTAAGGACTGTTCTAGTGATTGGTGGTCCTTAAAAATAGATGGAACATAGAGGATGAGGAGAAGCTATAGGGTAGGTTGCAGTGGGATACTGGTTTTTAATAAATCATAATCCATCCAGAATTTATCATGTTATAGCCACTTCTTTCCAAAATTCATCATCGTTTACAAGACGCCATTAAAGAAAGACTCAAATCTCATATTAGACTAATACAAGTAGATGATATGCTGAGTAAATATTTGGTTGATAGGAACGGATAGGAATTCTCAGGGCAGTTCCCGGAGCTATTGATGATTTTCAATACCTCTACTCAGTGAATGAAAGAGCTGTCTTTGTCTGTTGGATCTGCTATTTTAATTGTACTTCTCAAGTATGGCCCATTTTTATGGCAAAAATGACAAAAGAACTATATGTTCTTGTTTGGAATATTAGAAATTTAAGACTTTCCAGGCTCTTGAAAGGAATCCAATATAGTAATCCTTAGATATATCAAAATAAATGTTTTAATTTAAAGTAACCAAAAATTGTATAAATGAATGTATGTTCTGTTGACTTTAATCCCACGAGTAATTGAAATGGAGAAGCTGATGCTTTTCCTGAAGCACGGCTTCGTTCAGTGGTTATACTTTCAGAGGACATTCTTAACCTGTTCTTGCCCAGTGCTCTTAAACCCTCAGCTGCAAAAAATGCCATTGCTGTGGGAGCAAGTCAGCAGTGCTCAGGCAAAGCTTTTGCCTGATGTCTTTACAAGCCTGCAGTGAAACCCAGCTCTTTTAAAATTCCTTACACATCTGGGTGTGTGGGAAGCAGAGACTGACTTTTTTTCGATGGTTGCTGGTGCCGCAGAGCAGGCGAGCCAGGCCCCCAAGATGGAAACTGCTGCTGTTCCGTGATGTGCAAGGAAGATCGCGTTCCCTCCCAAGGCCACCATATAGAATGTATGTGTGCACGTCTGTCTGTATGTTTGCATCTGTCTGACATTAGCCCATAGTGATTTTGTTGTACTGATTAAATAATTTCTATACTGCACTGGAATTTTCCTTTGAAGGGATACTGCCAATATAATAAACTTCTGACTAAAGCAAGTGCTAGCTAAACTTCTGGAGATAATTAGAGAAAGTAAATTTTCCAGCTTATTTACCTAATGGATGTGTCAGCACTTTGGGTATTGACAGTTTCCCCTTTCATTGGTATGAATATTTCTCCCCCCTTGCTAGAGAATTTAATTGTATAAAAATAAAAGAATGTGCTTGTACAAATGTTGCTAAGGAAGATGGGAGCAGCTGCAGCACAGGAACTATCCACTTAACTAATGAGATATAAAATGAAATTAAAGGAAAGTCATCGGGTATTCCCAGTTGCTTCAACTGTGCAAAGCTTATTTATTATATGTGTGTATAGTTAAAGTCATTATTAGTCAGTAGCTGAGTAAGAACGCGACAAGCCAGAAGTAAGATATTTATGCTAATTTTGGTATGCATTTGTATATGCAGTCTTGAAATTCCAGATGCTTTAGCGGGACTTTGCAGGAGCAGGCTGTGTGAGGGACAGCCATGCTAGTCCTTACACAGGAGCCATGTATGAAACAAATCCTGATTTTGTTCTTGTCTTTGCTGCATGTCTGTATTTGCCGAGACAGCAGCTGAAAGCACAAGTCTGGTGGAATTAAATCGCTGTTGTTATTTTTTAACATAGTTGCTGATGTTGTAAATTGTTCTGTGCAAATAATAATGGTGTGTGTTAATACAAAATATCTATTATTGGAGGTAGCTTCTTGGCTTTTTCTTCCTTTGTGGAAATAAATCCTCCAAAACATGTATTTGCGTTGGTACGTTCTGGATGTGCCTTTACATAGAGGAATTATTCTTATCTAGTTGGATTTAAGAAAGTAAGCCAAAGCATATTTAAGGGAGAACAAATAAATCTTTTTGTTCTGTGGGATAAGAGATAAGATGACATTTCTGTACAATTCATGTTAACTAAAGTGATCTTCTTGTGGTATTCCAGTCCTAATTCTGCCATAGGAAATTTTATGAGGTAGCTTAGATTTCATTGTCTGTTATCCTGGATAAAACTATTATGTTAATAATTGTATGTTTTTTCCTGCACGACAGATGCTGGTTAGATTCCTGAAATCTGTCACATTAAGTTTATGTCATGTGTTAAGCCATTTATATTACCTGCTGTTAGAGAATTATGAGTAATAAATGTCAATACTAGTGATATAGGGTTATTTATGTACTTAGGAATTTAACTGTGCCATCCAGAAACTTCAAATGATAAAATGAATTTAGAGGCAAAACTTGGTATAGCTGAAATATATATTCTGTATTTTGTTAGAAGATAAATGTACAAGTCTAGCCACCTTCCCCCTAAAATGTATGCAAAGATTTATATATATTTTTGAGAAATAAAAGGCATACTGTTTTCATGGAGGTTTTAATAAGTGCCACTATCAGATGTGCCGTAAGCATCCTGAGACACTGAAAGCTGAACAAGCTGGGTGAAATCCGTGACAGTGCAGGAAATCTGCGTGGGACTGTGCAATCATTTTAATCAGGTGTGATGCCTTTGACACTGAGGTGCATTTTGTACAGTAGGAATCTAATTCACACGATGGCTGGCATGTGTTACTTGATTACATTAGAAAGAAACTAAAAGCGCCTTTTAGTGCTCTCGGGCCCTAATTCTTCTTAGACTTGCCAGGAAGTTTGTACAAATTGCAGTATGCTCATTGAAAGCACTGGGGTTACTCAGTGTTAGGCAAATATATATTTTACAGAAACAGCAGGTGGTATTTCACATAGTGTAGGATCTTTGTATTTGTTTTTAATTTCCTGTACCTGTAGGATTTCTTTCTGGTATGTGTTTTGAGGACCTCTGAATTTTTTAATAGTTGGACCTATCCAAAGCTAAATATAATGCCTTTACCATCTCCTGATCTGTTTTCCATTTTATTTCAGAAATCAAACTCCTTAACATTAGCTAAGTTGAAAGA